AAACTTTTGCTGCATCTTGTAATTTCTTTGCTTCTCATCAGTGGCTTTCGATTCAGGTTTGACAAGTCCTTCAAAAATTACCTCTGCAACTTCTTGAAAACAAAAAATAGCAAGCATTTATATTCTTCAATTATCAAACAGCTTACAGTTAAACACAAACAATGTCTCTTACATCATTCTAGTCAATCTAACCATTATTCTTGACCAATCTTGGAAGATCCTTCGTGTCCTTTTAGGTTTTGCAAGAATCTTTCACCTTCTACATAACTTTCTTTGTTGAGTTACACTTTACTCAGCGCCTAGTACATACTTAACTTCTAACACTCATTTTCTTCTCATTTATCCTTATTTTAATATCATGTAGAAACATATGCAACTAAACATTATAGAAGAATGTCTCAAATCTTATTATGAGCAAAACTACACAATGATAGTTTATATACAAAAGAGAAAATAATCAATGTAATTTATAAAACTAACTTTTCAAGTTTTGAATTATTCCTAATAATATCACTTTTGTTACAAAGAAAACATATCAAACTTAATTTAAAAAAAAAAATTGGTAACATTCATTCATTTTTAAATTTATTCAAAATAGTAAGACTATAATTTGGTACCAAAATATAATAAATGTTGAAATATATATTATAATATATTCCTTTGTCAGCCCATAAGATAACCTTATTTTCTTACATTAAATTTCTTATAGATTTTTTAAAATATAAGTGTTTTAACTTTTAACAAATTAAGTTTATCTGTCAGAAGCTACAGAATGTTTACACTATCATCTCCAAATGATTCAATGTGTTTATTGACTAAAAATAGTAATTTTTGGTTATGGCATGGAGAATAATTCAAATTCACTTAAATAAGCTTGTTTACGAAACATAAATTGTGTAATACATATAAAAATAAAATAAAGATCTTTTCCCTGAGAAAAAAATGATGTTTATTGAACCAGAGATTTATTTACATTGACAATAATTTATAAGATTCATTTACTGATCGAATTTATTAAACTCATCTAATCACTAAATATAAAATACTAAATAATAAATAAATAAGTAAAAAATAATAATTTTTCATTTTTGATAATAATTTCTTTTTTGGATATATTTACTTTCCTTTTATTAATATATATATATATATAAAAGTTTACAAAAATTTTACAAATTATTTTGACTTAAATAAATAATTATTTTTTATATTTTTAATATATATAATTACTATTTTAAAAAATATTATGAAATTAATTATAAAAATAAAATAAATAATTTCATATATTTTTTATTTGTTTGTAATATAATATTATTTTATTAATTTAATTTTAAATAACTAAAAAGTAATAATAAATATTTATAATTATATATTAAAATATATATTATTGAAAAAAATATAATTTAAAGATATTTTTTTAAAATAAAATTAATAATTATTTAGATAATTTTATAATTAAATAAATATTTAATTTTAATTTAATTATATTATTAATTTTTAAAATAATTTTTTTTCTTATGTCATTTTCTTCTTAAATCAATAATAATATTTTTCACTTTAATTTTATCTTCTTCTTTTTCTTTTTCTTTTCTCACACTTTTTTCTTGCTACCACATAATCATTATGAAAATTCAAAATTTTCTATATTATATTTTGATTTTATATATATATATATATATATATATATATATATATATATATAATATGCCTAAACGTTTTTTATTTCTCATCAAAAGTTATTCATTTATTGTATTCTATAAATTTGATAAAATGGTTCAAAATGATAAATATTCAAACTTACATCCACTAGAAGTAATAATAGAAGAAAATTTGATAAGAATTTGTTTAAATATTTGGTAAAAAATTTGATATTGATTTTTTTGAAATATTTATAACATAGCTCAAGTTTTGATAATAAATAAAACACCATGGTGAAATTAATTATAGTTCTGATTTATTAATGTGTAAGATATAAAGAATTGGAACATTAATCATGATTTATCAAGACATGTATTAAAATTTGAGTTAAGGATGCTTTTAATACTTATCTTGTGTGTTGGAATTGGATTTAGCTAATACATACTCATAATTATTGATTTGAAATTAAATAATTAATAATTTTAATAAAAGTAATGCATATATATATATATATATATATATATATATATAATGAAACTTGTGTGTTAATTATAATTTTTTATGTATTATTTTTTATTATCATTTATTATTTTGTTTATTATCATATTTTGTATTCTAAAGCATATTTTTTTTATTATAGAGAAATCAAACTTTTTTTAGATTATCTTAAAAGTTGTAATGTAGAATCCCAGTACATCATTTCGTATATCAAATATTATAAAAAGTTTAAAAAATAAAATACTTATTTTAGAAAAACAAAACAAATAAAATAATAATTAAATATAATAATAATAAGAATATACGCGTACAAATTTTATAAAATAATTCATTCAATTACAAATTGATTTATTATAATTGTATAATTTTTTATTTGGTGACAATTAAGTAAAATCAATATTTATTTTTAATTGTTTAAACTCTAATAATATGAAAAAATCTTTGAAAAGAAAAAAAGGATTTTTATGTTTTTGTGGTGGCATAAGAGATGATATAATTTTATTTTTTAAATATAAAGAACTTGAAATCAGATTTTTATTAAAATATATAATATAATAAATAGTGCAGATTTTTTTTTACAATTTTTAATCGTATGTAGGACTGAGGGGTAAATAAATCAAATAAACATAATTTAAGAAAAAGGCCCGGATTTAATTATGTTGGTGTCTAAAATTTGAAGCAAAAATAATAATTTATTTTTAAAGTTAAAAAAGAAATTTATTTCTTCAATATTAAATTAAAGAGATTAAAAACAATTTTAAATCGTAAATTTGACATCTGAACCTTAAACTTACAACAATAAATTTAAAATTCTAAAAAACTAATTTTAGTGTCTCAAACTAAAATTATATTTTTTAAAAGTTTTAAGAGATTAAAAAAAATTCAAAGATTAAAATTATAATTAAATTATTAAGTTAAATAGAAAACATTTTTGTATCTCTAAGTTTAATTAACTCTTTAATTATATTTAATCTATGAAAGCATGTATTATTTAAACTGTAAAATCATGGTATCATCTAATAATTACAATATTATTTTCTTAAAATATTGACGATGAGTTTATTATATTTTTTTTAACGTGTGGTAAATTATTTTGAATATAAAAAAGTTATTGATGATATTTCTATATAAATAGCATTTATTTTTCAATTTTATTTCCAGGGAGAATATTAAATATAGTGGAACCCTAACGTCAGCAGTATTTTGGATTAGATTTATAGGTGCATGGATCATATCTACTCGATTATATCAATATTCTCGTCAACTTTTACGATTAATATGTTTTGGTTTTAGATACATGTGACAAATGACTATTTAATACTTTGATGATGATTCTTTGTTTATTTAAGTAGCAACTTCAACATGCACAATGATGCAATTTGATATATTAGTCAATCAAATATAACAGTATTTTTCGAGTTTAAGTTAAAATTAGACACCACACAAAAGAACATAATCATTATTTTTTTTTTCATAAACCTCAAGTAAAAAAATAACATAACTAACATAATTAATAAAAAAAAGAGATGGTTCAATCTCAATGACTTTGTTACATGTTTTTGTTTTCCAAAAAACAAAAATGTGAGAAGGGTTACTAGAAAGATAACTAATGATGTTTTGTCTCCAATAAATAAACGAATTTTTTAAAAACTTGGTAATGAAGTTACGAAGTTATTTCTTTAAAAGTAACATGTTAAAAGTAAGTGTCTATAAATCAACCCATCTAAGTGGTGAACTAAACCAGTTAGGTTAATCTGTCATTTTTAACATGTTAGATCAAATCTCAGCCTTTTTTTTATGATTTTAAAACAAACTCATTACTTGCTAAATTAGAAGGCTATATCACAAAGCTACAACGATTGCACTGAAACAAAATTGTAGGAAAATCTTGAGTATATATTCTGAAAATGCTAAAAGATAATGCAAAAGGGAATATCTGGGTGTTACCTGGTGGAAGACCCTTCCAAAAGGGCCAGATATCTTACCATATATCCGCCATGTGAATGCGACTTCTCAACCTCCAACCATATGCTCCATCGCTACTTTGGGTGTCTAATTGGTAGATAGCTTAGCTGCCAAAAATAATCCACATAAAACCATCAATATGTTTTACAAATCTGTTGCCTCTTAGAGAATACTGTCTCTTCTTCATCATAATTAGGAAACAAAAATCTGTTGGCTGTTTTTTTTGGATTTGTGTGTCTACCAGAGGATCAATGCATTCAACTTGATCCACCATGTCTGCATGTGTCACAGTCAAACAAACTTATCATCACTATTATATACGTTTAGAACACAAACTCAACATAATTTCATAAGTTAAAATAACCTTATATCCATTATTAATCTATAATACTATCATGAAAATTTGCAGAAAGGAGAGAGTTTTGTAACGGTGCATCCAATAATTAGTTTGTCAAGGGAAAAGGGAACTGTAACACTTTATTCTCTTCTCATAAATGTCCAAAAGGGGAATACAACTTGGTATTTTGATATTAATTATTCTCTCCATTGTGCTTCTTCCAACCAGCACACTTTTATCTCTCATGCGTGCCTTTTTCCTGTCACTTCCATCCTCCCATATTGTACGTGGGGTATTCCCTACATTAACCTCTTATCAACCACACCATAAACAACAAAAAGTCCTGTTTCGTACCACTAATGCATGCAAAACTCCACTCGTACTATATTAAAATATTCGAACCAACATCCAAACCACGCTTAAAATGATTCTTTTGGCCCACTAAAATACAAGTTCTGCAGAATAGTTAACAGCTCTCTCTTCTCCCTCCCGCAACATCTACATATATAAATAACCTACCTCCTTACTTCCAGTTTTGTGTGTGTTGTTTCTCTGTCTGAATTCTATGTATGATGAAGATGAAGGTGAAACTTCCCAAATGCTGCCTAAGGGAATTTTCCAAATTCAGAAAGGTGAGAGTTAAATTTCCCAAGTGTGACATTCGCATATTACTTTCATGCTGTGAGAAGTCACACTCGTACGTACCCAAAGATGTCCCGAAAGGTCACCTAGTTGTCTACGTTGGTGATGATTGCAAGAGATTTGTGATCAAAGTAGGTACACTCAGCCATCCATTGTTCCAAGCATTGTTGGAGCATGCAGAGGAGGTGTTTGGATTCAGCAATGGTTCCAAACTCCACATCCCTTGCAGTGAGAACATTTTCCTTCACGTTCTTCATAATGCTGGTGATCTTGCTCAGGATCGAAGGCTCGTCCATTGTTTCTAGTCTGCTACCAGTTTTCCATTCTGAGTCATATAGACAAATCAAATCATGATAGCAATTGGAAGACGTGACTTTCCTGGCAAACTTAATTTCAACATTTTCTGCCATGATTTCACGTTATAATATACATTTTGTGCATCAAAGTAAAAGAGAAGTCGTTGAAGTGTACTATTAGGTAGATTTGGCATAACCTTCTTTACAGTTTTTGTCTTATAACTAATATATATAGAGTGAAAAAAAAAACTATTGGAATTTATGGAAAAGGTTACTATAATTACTTTTATGAATCTAAGCAAACTCTACCAAAAATCTCTGATATATATAATTTCAACCCTTCACGGATTTTATGATGAGCTACATGAATGTTGAACTCGTTTCTTTAAATTAATCGATTATGACGGTCATTCCCATAGTAATCCAAGTTTCATGGTATTGAGGTCAAAATCTATTAGTTCTACCTCTTATGTCTTCCCTGTGAAGTTTGTCAAGATTGATCGGGTATTTTGGAATTGGTTGGCGAAGGCTAAATTGCCTCATATCCTTATTTGCTGGATGAGGCTCAATAATAGCAAAACATATCATTGGAATTATTACATGACTCATAGGAGAAACCTCAACATTTATTAGTCGTTGTAACCCAGATCGACGATCAGGAGTTCATAAAAACTGTATTATTTTATGGAACTTGCGAAATTAGAATTATTATTATTTAAGAAATACATATTGAAAGTTGTAATAAATAAAATATCTCTTTTGATTTTAATTGATCAAATATTAGACGTAATGCATGTACAACATATGTAATTACATTGAACCTTTGACCTGATCGCAGACCACCTATTGCATACAAAAAATATACTAGTATAAAATGAAATAATATGAAAGAAAGAAATGGAATAAAAATATAAAATCATTTTGAATACCTTTTAGCCAATGGAAAACCATACTCTACAGTAATCTCCTCATTGGTTAAATCTTCTACCTTAGGATATATGCATGTAATATGGTCTCATGCCCAAGCTTGAAGCAATAACATGCATCCTCCAATGTTCTCTTAATGGTAGTCAACGTCATGATCCAACGCTCTATACAACCATGCCAAAACAACTTATCCCCAACTATAACTTGAAACTAGAGTTAGATTCCACAATAATAGGAGATACATTAAGTCCACTCTAGATGTTGAAGTATTAGGCAATAATAAGCTCCCTATTATTGTCAAAATGTGTTCCCTAATATGTTATGCTATAACGTCATTGTCTGCATCATCTGAAAAGTGTTGGAACGAAGTGTTTAACCAAAAATGTTCTATTGTGTTCCTTATAGCAACATCTTGCAATGGGAATGAACCTAATAATGGTTCACAAAAGATAGTCAAATCTTCACTGCTGTGACCTATTACTTGCAGTCCATCAATGGGCAAACCTAATAGTAAGACCACATCTTCTAATCTAACTATAGCTCTTACAATGGAAAAATGAAAGGTGTGGGCTGTAGTTTCCACCTTTCAACTAATATTATGGCCAAATGATGATTGACATCAATAGTTTCAATTGTCATCAACTATCCAAATCCAGCCTATGAGTCAAATTTTTAACCCGATCGTCCAACATGTTTGCATGTTTTGTTATACATATGTTATGTCACCTAAGATGTAACAATCTTTCATTTCCTTTCCATAATGCATTTGTGACATGTTTGTCCTAGAGACGTAATAAGAATACATCAGCAAGAAGACGACGACTGTGGAAAGCTATTTTTGTAATAATAATAATAATAATAATAATAATAATAATAATAATGTTATTAAAACCTGTGAAGTGTTGCAGTAACAAAGAAAGAAAGAATCAAAATTGTGAAGTAATGGAAAGTTAATACTTCACCAAATGTTGAAAAGTGTCCTTGTAGCAACAAATAAATAATAAATGTAGCATTAAAAATGTATAAAAAGAGGTGATGGATATAGAATAACTTCTGATGGAGTTGAGGGATGAAGATGAATGTAAGGGGGTGCTCTATTTATAGGGATGAACAACTTGGTAGGTGATAAAATTTCAATGGCACACTCAATTCAAAAATTGAATGCAAAGCACCCTCAATTCAAAAATTGAATGCAAAACACGTTCCTCTGTTGCCTAGTAAGATTCCTGCAAACTCTACATCCCATTTATGTTTCATGTGCAACCTTACAGTCTAGGACAACATGCATGTAGTGACACTGAACTCGTGCATCTAAGCACAATTTTCATGCAATCATAACACACTAACATCATGCAAGAAAAACCGATTTTGTCTGTCCTAAATGAAATCGTGCAAGCTAGCACGATTTTTACTTTGTTTCCACTGAACTCGTGCTACAATGCATGATTTAGGCTTGTAAAGAACACGTTTTTGCTAGCGCAAGTTCAGTTAAATTAGCCCTCAAATTGAACTCGTACAACGTTGCATGATTTTCATTCAATAAGTTATTTTGCATGAGTTTTTTTGTGTCATGGGATGCGAGAACAGTTAATAATAGCCTAAAAATATAGTTGATTTATTATTACATAAGATAAATAATATGCTCTTAGACGTGAAAAGTGAATAGTGTGCATCTCCAACCATTTTCATTGCAATTGTTCGATTATAAATACCCCTTGATTGTTTCGAATCTAATCACATAATAATTTCTACTGTAATCGTAATTGTTTATTGAAGTTTAATTTTTAAAGGTATATTTACTTGGTTTAATTGAATTTTTTATTTAAATTTAGTTGGTTTATTTTACCTAATAATATACTTTATACTATTTGAATATATTTTTTAATTTTTAACAAGTATATTTAGTTGGTTTAATTAAATTTTTATTTAAATTTAGTTGGTTTATTTTACCTAATATATTTTACACTATCTGACTATATTTTTTAATCAATTTTTCTGTAGTTTTTTTAATTAGATGAACAAATTTTAAGTTGGTAGTTGTCCATGACAGTTGACAATTCTGTTATTCAAGATGTTACTGAAGATTTTACTAACGAAGAAGAAGATATTTTTTCCTTTGCTGCAATATATCTAAATGATGATGTCCTGCTATATGCTGGACAATCGTCTAATCAATTAACCCATATAAGGGAAAATTACATCTGGTGAAGGTCGGTGCTTTCCGTCAAAATAGACAATAGTAAGTGTAATAAAACAATTTCATATTGATGAAGGATACATGTTTTCTATTGTTGAGTCTAAAGCTGACAAATATATTGCGCATTGTATACATTATGACAACAAGTGTCAATAGAGAGTATGTGCTTCATTCAGCAAAATTCGTACTTAATGGGGGATAAAGAAAATTGAAGTGTCTCATTTGAGTGTAATGTTAAATCTAGATCATTAAAACTTAGACTCTTCTGTCATTGCTAACATTATTTTTGAATTGGTCAAAACAAATCCATTTGTTCTTATTAAAAACTTTGATAGTAGAAGTTAAAGACATACATGGTCATATAATGACTTACAAAAAAGTATGGACTACGAAACAAAAGGCGTTTGTCGTGACATTTGGAGACTAGGACAAGTCATACAATCTTTTAAGGTGGTTGCAAGCTGTTAAATATAGAAATCCTAATACAATTGTTCAGGATGTTTATTCTTTTCATTTGGTGCATGGTGTTTATAGTCCATCATTTATATTACAATGTATCTTTTGGTCATTTAAGTCATGTATAGAAGATTTCAAATATTGCAAACTAATTATTCAAATTGACTGAACATTCCTAATAGGAAAATATCATGTTACATTATTGATTGCAACTTCACAAAATCACAATAGAAACATACTTCTACTTGCATTTACAATTGTGGAAGGTAAAACAAAATTAGTATGGTTCTTGCAATGCAACTTCTAAGTTTATGCCTCAAAATAAATTTATGCATGATAACATATAGAGACAAAGGAATATTGTCGATTTTACAATAAGAAGATCTTAATTTGAATTATCTCACCTCACCTCAGTGTATTGTATTTGTTATATTGTCTCAAATTTCAACAAAAAGTTCAAAAATATTGATTTGAAAAGACAAGTCATCAATCTAGGTAACATCTTCTAACCTACACAATTTTTTTCTCTAAATAATATATGTCTGAAATTATATTTTTTTGTGCAGGATACACGAGAAGAAACAATTCAAACTTTTAGCAAAATTATCTATTTTAAGGTCTGACTTTGAACAATAAATGTCATGGTTAGATGACATTCCATTAGAGAAATGGATTCAATCAATATGAACATATGACAACAAATCTTGTTAAGTCTATGAATTCTGTTTTCAAAAGAGTATGAGCTTTACCTATATCTATCTTAGTAAAAATAACTTTTGAAAGAACTATTTCTTAGTTTGTGAAAAGAGGCATGAAAGCATAATACATGTTATGAGTTGAACACAAGTATTCAAAACATATTACTGCACTGCTTAACAAGAATGAACAATGTGTTTAAATATGTCATGTTCAAAGGTAAATCAAGATAATTTCAAATTTGACGTACAAGACCAATTCAATCTCCATCATCGTCGAAGATCGACAAGCTACATAGTTCAATTAAATTAATAATGGTGTGATTGTGAAAAATTTCAAGCCCTCCGACTCCTTTATTCTCATGTTATTTATAACTAGCTGCATTTATCAATTCAGTTTACAAGTTCCAAAGAATTTATAAGGCGTATAAATTTCAATTCCATCTGATTCAAAATAAAAGATTATTGGTTTACTTATATATATCCAAATTTTTGTCTTAATTCTAATATGCATCGAGACACATCAAGAAGACCTACAACTAATCAGATTCGAAATGAAATAGATATAGAAGTTAGAAATAAATAAAAAATATTTTTTTATCGAAATAAAATACATAATCGTGCAAACTATCCATTTCAATAATAAATTTGTATTTTTTTAAATAATATAATATTTTAATATAATTATACTTAATTAAATTTATCCACATTTCTCTAAATATTTATATTTTATA